AGTGGGCCCAGCTCCTGAAACTAACTCTCCTCACAGTTGCCACGCTATGTAAATAGTACAGAATTGTCATTTTCAGTGTTCTAGGAATGAAAGAACTGTAGCAGCTCCACTTGAATGAAACAATTCAGCTCTTAACAATTAAAGCACAGGGAAAATGTCCTTTTCTGAGTCATATACATTAAATGAATAATTCAGCTTGTAAATGATGTATTTCTGACTTTCTTACTTTTTTTGGAAGTTAGTGAGTGGTTCTTGAAAGCCCTGGATTGTTCGTAGCTTCAGTGCTTGCATTTAAAGTTGGTTTTCTTCCTAGTGAGTTGTAGCTGAATTTGAGTGTCTGTCCCAACATCTATAAATTTTAAGTTACTGAAAGCTAGATTACTAGGATTTTGTCAAATAGTAGTTAGGCATAAATGTCATGTGGTGATCTTTGTAGATGAATTGTTCTGTGTGTGTTTGGGTTGCCTCACACACTTGAGGGAGGCTCTGAAAGTCAGGTAAAGACTTTCGCCCACTTCCTTTCTTCTGCTCATTACTGTAGTTACTGGGATAATAGGCACATGCCATCATATCTAGCTTCAATCCACAAAAATGGACTTTCACAGACTTTTCTGCCAGGGCTGTCCTGGAACCACAGGCCTCCCAATCTCATTTTCCCATGTGGCTTTGGAGCGTGTGTGTGTGTGTGTGTGTGTGTGTGTGTGTGTGTGTGTGTGTGTGTGTGTGTGTGTGTGTGTGTGTGTGTGTGTGTGTGTGTGTGTGTGTGTGTGTGTGTGTGTGTGTGTGTGTGTGTGTGTATAAAACTTTTTTTTCTTTTTGGATCGATTGTAGGGCTTGAACTCCGGGCCTGAACACTGTCTCTTCAGCTCAAGGCTAGCGCTCTACCACTGTGTGTGTGTGCGTGTGTGTGTGTGTGTGTGTGTGTATAAAACTTTTTTTCTTTTTGGATCGATTGTAGGGCTTGAACTCCGGGCCTGAACACTGTCCCTCAGCTCTTCAGCTCAAGGCTAGCGCTCTACCACTTGAGCTACAGCGCCACTTCCGGTTTATTGGAGATAAGAGTTTCACGGACTTTTCTTCCTGGGCTGGCTTTGAATCGTGATTCTCAGATCTCAGCTTCCTGAGTAACTAGGATTACCAGCGTGAGCCACCAGCGCCCAACTTTACATATATATAAAACTTGAGAAGGAGTTTCAAGCAGCTTGGCTTCGAACCATGGTTCTCTGGTGTCAGCCTTGCAAGTAGGACTACAGTCAGAAGCTAACATGCCTGGCTACTTTTTTTTTTTTAATCATAAAACCTAATTCAAAGTGTTTATGCTATGCCGTAATCTGTGTATGTTTTAACATAAAAGTAATGTTTTAATTATTCTCTAATATTAATGTTAATATTATAATATGTTAATAGCTCTAATATAATGTTAATATTTCTGGGAGATGTGCTTTACATTCATCTCTTAACTTTACACCCCGATGCCTTCATACTGTGATATCTCCTGTAGAAGTCTATAATCATCTCATAACCCTCAGGAGTAGTAGTTACTATTATCCCCTATTTCAAGTGAGGAATTTGGAGCCTAGAAAGATGTAGCTACTGAGTGCTGAGAATTTGCAGATACTTTTGCAATGTCCTGTTGGTAAAAGACTGAAAATGTTTAGATTTAAAAAGCAACAATGGCTGGATAGGTGACAGCATGTAATTTATATTTTTATGCATTTTATGTTCTTCCTGGAAATGTCCTTGTAAGTGGTTTTCCTAGTCTGGAAAGTGCCATTACAATACATTAATTTTGATTTTTGTAAATAAGTGGCCAACATTATTGTGAGTTGACTATTGCATTGTACTCTGTCCTCATTTGCTCATTCTTATTTCTTCTTGATCAGCCTCATCTCTTAGTTTCTCCTAGTCTCTAGTGTCTGTGATCTGCTGTCCACCTACCTGATATGCTAGCCTCGACCACTCTCCCACAACTGAGTTCCTATTGAATGGCTAGAGGCCAATAATCTTTTAGGCCCCAGACCTCAGCTAAGGTGCCATGCCCCCATGGAGGTATTCCTTAGCACCTGTTGAGTATAGATGCCTTCCCTGTATCAACGAACATTGTATGCATTATGGTCTAGAACATCGTAGAAAAGTGTAAATTTTTTTCCTTGTTACTTAACAGTCTACCTGATTTCATTATTTCTTATGGTTCAGTGACTTGGCTTAGCTGAGGGTTCTGTTGGTCATATGTACGATCTCTGTCTCACATGGTTATAGTTCAGTGGCCTTTGAAGCTAAGCCATGTGGTGTCTCAGCCAGGATCCTGATGAAGAGTAGGTTTCTCTTCTTTGTAGACTCAGTGCCCCTGTGTATCAAATCCCTCTGTAAAGATGATCCTGTGAGATACTACATTATTGTCCATGTAGGTAGTCCTAGAACATCCATTGTTTACTTAAAGCATGAATCCAGGAGGAGCTGACATTGGAGTTGTATTTGGAGACTAGAAACCTCAATGTGTGTTTTTTTGTGTGTGGATTTTTCAACCATGGATAAGCATAGCTCTCTGATCCTTACATAACATCTACTGAAGATGAAATCTTACTGTTTTCTTCAGCTAGCTGGCTATCATGTGCCAAACTGTTGATATATTTTCTCTGAAATCATCCCTGTTTTTCCATCCTCATCCATCCATTTTGGCATTCTATTGTCCTCTACGTTCAAGGTCTTTTTTCCTGTTTCATTTCTCTAGTCTCTTTGTTTATTTGTTTGTTTGTTTGTTTGTTGTTGTAGCATCTCTTAATCTCTAAGGTCCCAATACAGTTACATCACCATTTTTACCTTCTCACCTGACTGAAATCACTGAATACATAAGCCAACTTGCTTAAAATTTTGTTTTATAGCCCACTTCTTTATTTAGTTTCATATGTATCTATAAGTAATCCATATCTATTTCTGAACAAATGTGAACCTCCTGTCAATGTAAATAAAAATATTTCTCTAACTTCATGTATTTTTTTTTTTCTTTTGTTGGTTGTGGGGCTTGAGCTCTGGGCCTGGGTGCTGTCCCTCAGCTCTTCAGCTCAAGGCTAGCACTCTTACCATTTGAGCCACTGTGCCACTTCCGGTTTTCTGAGGGGTTTATTAGAGATAAGAGTCTCATAGACTTTCCTGCTTGGGCTGGCTTTGAACCACAATCCTCAGATCTCAGCCTCCTGGTGCAGGTGTGAGCCACCAGCACTGGGCTTAGCTTCATGTATTTTAAGATTACCTTTCCTAGACTCTGTTTCTGCTTGTTCCACAAGTTGTTCTTTAGGCTTCCTGTACATCTATCACCCTGGGACCTCCTACCCTTTCTGTCCCATTGGACACAAGCCAGGGACACACACACATGATTTTTTCCCCTTACTCTAGTGGAACATATTCTGCATTAGCTCCACAACAAGAGTCTATGACTGGTGAATTTTCATATAATTTTCATGTTTGATACTAATGTACCTTCACCTTTTTGCTTTTGTGTGAAAACTTTTTGATTATGAGTTAAGTTACTTCAGGATTTTAAGACATTTCTTCATTCCTTGTTGGTGTTCAGGGTTGTTGGTGAGGTGACATTTAGCTTTTTCATGTGGACTGTTTTCCTTTTCTTTATGTTTTCAGTGCCTATTCTTTTGTCCTCAACATGTTTTTCAAAGTTGTACATTTGATTTATTTTAGTATAACAGAGTTAAAGTAGAAGGAAATAGAAAAATAGAAAAACATTTTCTGTTTCCTTTGCAGGACATAGAAGCTAGACTCATGTCCTCAGCATTCTGAAATGTTACCAAATATCTAGAATTTTTAATAGAGCATACTGTATATCCTATGTGAGCTACTTTTCTGATATTAACTACCCTCCTAGAACATTTTAACCTCCTTTCTTCCCTCCAACACTTGAAAGCACAGTCCTGCTCCAGAACTTTTGCACTTTTCCCCTACTGCATGGCATGTTTTTCTCTCATATACCCATAAGGTTTTTCTTCCATATACCTACAAGGTTCTTCCCTTACTTCTAGTTCTGTTCAAAAGGTACTTGGATAGTGGTTGGTACTCACCTTATGTGAAGTAACCCACAACACCCATACCCGCAGCCCTTACTCTACCTACTCTTCTGATTTGGGCATAGGAATTCCTGCAAGATGTTAATTTGCTCATTATTAATTATCTCCTGACTACAAATTAATAAGCCCAATGACAGATGGACTTTATTTTGTGTTCTATCAAGAATTATGTCAATATTTTGAGAATGAAATGCTTGTGACTTAGTATGTAGATGTGACTTGATATTGTCGTTTTTTTAATCCTAGTGTTTAGCATTTAGTGGCTTTATTCTAAAATTTATATTCTTTACTTTTGGGAATGTTTTCTCTTTTTTTTGTTGGTTGTGGGGCCTGAATTCTGGGCCTGGGCAATGTCCTTCAGCTCTTTAGCTCAAGGCTAGTTAGTGTTTTACCACTTGAGTCACAGCACCACTTCCGGCTTTTTCTGCTTCTGTGGTGCTGAGGAATCGAACCCAGGGCCTCATGCATGCAAGGCAAGCACTCCACCACTGAGCCACCTTCCCAGGCCTGTAATTATCTTTAAGTAATTGTACAAATTAGTTTCCACTTAACGCAGCAGTTTATGCAGCCAATGCATTTTGATCACTGTCACCCCTTATCATTCTCCCTGGGTCCTCCCAATCCTGTCTCATCCCTTGATTTTCTTAATTTTGTAGGGTACACATTGAATTTTATGACTGCATTCTCCCTACTCCTTCTTCTCTTAGGATTGTTTTGTTGATTAACTTCTTTATTTTTTTCACATCTTTGTCTTTTTGAACCAAGGTTTTAGATATTGGCCTTTTGATATTTTGTTAGTTTGTTGCTTTTTGTTTATTTGTTTAATTTTGAGATAGAGTCTTGCTATGTAGCCTAGGTTGGTCTCAAGCTTGTGATTCTCCTCCCTCTACCTCTACAGTGCTGAGATTGCAGGCCTGTGCCACCCACACTCAGTTCTGGAGTTGCTATAAGCCTCTACTTTTCTTATCTTTATGACTTTTCATTTCCTTCCTTGCTTAATTTTCATATAGTGTTTAGTAAGTGTGTGTCCTTTAGAAAAGCAAATAAAATGCAAAGTGAGTTTTCTACTCATGATTATTTGGAAATTTGTAAATATTTATTGGAAATGTCATGAAAGTAAATAGTTTGTGGTAGTTTTTTGAGTTCATATTTATGATATGCCTAGGATAGTACAGTAAGCAAATTAAATAAACGTGTGGCATAAATATTGAGTCTACTCATCTGTAACACTGGAATTTAGTTAGTTGTTGAAAATTACTCCTACTTTCCCTTAACTAGCAAGGAGAAGATAGATGGAGTTCTCACCAGGTTGCATACTAGCATTTTTCATTTTAACTATATATACTAGATCCTTGTAGACAGAGAGTGCTAAGCATACACAGGAACAAATATTTCTGAAAGCCTGATTATCATTAACTATGATAGGTATTTTACATATACAATTTTGTAAGGATGGACACAAAGCCCTGAAATACAAGTGTCATTACATTCTATTAAAAATGGAGACATGAAGGTAATTGATATTAATTGCCTAGTACAAGGTCATGTAACCAGTATCACATCTGATGCACATTTTCAGAGTAGATTTGTTTTGCTCCATATGAAAAATCTTTCCCTACTTCAAAAACTGAAACATATATGTATAACAGGAATATTTATGGAAATTATCAGAGACTGTTAAAAACACCAGAAAGCTATATTAGTAATTTTTTTTTTTTTTTTGGTCAGTCCTGGGCTTGAACTCAGGGCCTGGGCCTGCATGCTGTTCCTGAGCCTCTTTATGTTCAAGGCTGGCACTGTACCACTTGAGCCACAGTACCACTTCCAGTTTTTTCTGAGTGGTTTATTAGAGACAAGAGTCTCACAAACTTTCCTGCTCAGGCCGGCTTTGAACCTCAATCCTCAGATCTCAGTCTCCTGAGTAGTTAGGATTATAGGTGTGAGCTACCAGAACCTGGCTAAATTGCTAATTTTGTCAAAGTCCTGTAACATAACTGATTGAAAAAGTTACTATATATACACACATATATATATTAGTTTCCCTGAAGAAACTATTAAATATTAAAAGACTAGTTATCAGCTATCTATGGAATACAGTGATATAAGCAATAATTTTCTAGCAGAAATTCTGAAATCCTATCTTTATCTTTTTAAAATTCTGAGTTACTGTTTCTTATTTGGAAAATACTTCTTCTCTGTGAGAAATCTATGAAGCACTATTATCTCCGAGCCTATAACATTTTTGCAAAGATTAGAAGAAAATAATTTGGGAAAAAAGTATGTCAGAAAAAAAGTACGAAAGCATCTCATAGTGCTTTCAACAAAGGCTAATTTATTCTTCTTAACTCTTGTTATTGCTACTCCTCTTAAATTAAGTTTTGGAACCTGGAATTACAATTACTAGGTCTTCTAGTTTCCACATTGTTTATTTGGTAGGGATACTTCTCACCCATTTCTATTTTTAGGTTGTCTGAACAGAAATATTTTTTAAGCAGGCAAAATACCTTTAGCTGTTTAGGGAGAAAGTGGCCTTGTGATGTTGTCCTTGGTGAATCTGAAGACTCGTGTGATATTGGCTATCTCCTTTTGGGCAATAGCTCCCATTCTTTTTTCTTTTTTTTTTTCTTTTCCTTTTTTTTTTTCACCTTTCTTCATCTTTTCTTTATTCTGGGAGGTTCGCCTTATCTCTGCTTTCTTATTGAGTTTGGCCAGTAAGAGGCACCAGGGGGAGTGTTATAGCCCTCAACTTATTTACAATTTTAGTTTGGGGTAGCTGCTGCCTCCTCTTGTTCTGTAAGCCTAGATATAGTAATGCTTCTCTGCTCTTTTTGGACTTAGGAGCAAGGAACTAGGGAGGCACCACACTAGCTCTTCTGTGGTTTCCCTAACCATGCCTCTCAGATTTTTAAATATTCCTGTATTTAAACTCTTCCTCTGTTTATCCAGTTTAAGTATTCTGTTTTCCTCCAAGCCCCTGATTGATAAACATACATATAAATCAATACTATGATCCCATATGGGGTCAGTCTCAAAGGCATCCTAGACCCACATATATCAGTTGAAATTCAGCCAGATAAATTTGAAAATTGAGGGTTCTGGTCTGTTTTGTTTTCAAAATCCTCATTAAAGACTAGGAGGTAAAAATCTGATTTACCTTTAGGCTAAATATTCATCATGGCTAGTATCTGAGCATTAACTCCAGATGAGCAAAGATTAATTTTAGACATATTAATCTCTAACAGTGTCTTTGAGAGTTGTTTTTATAATGAATAACCTTAAAGAAGGGCTAGTGATGCAGTAGAGTGGTAGAGCATTTGCCTGGCATGTGCAAAGCCCAGAATTCAATCCCCAGCAGCACAAATAACACAGCAACAATAATAACCATCTTAATGAAGCTTCCTTTCTGTGTAACGTTTGCAGTGGTGTTAGCTTAATGTTCTCTTGGCAATATAATACATAAATTATGACACTTACTTTGTAATTCTTAGGTTCCCAACATCAGTGGATTCAATTGATTTATTTCAGAATAAACTTTGTAATAATATCTGCTGTCATTGGTTGTATGTTTTAACTAAAAATCTGTCTGTAGGCTCTTGTGAGGTTAAAGACTGTTTTGTTTCCTTCCTCTTGTTTGGTTGGTTGCTTGCTTCTTTTGCTTTGCTTTAAAATAGTGTAATTTCCTGTTTCCAACCCCATGACTAGCCTATAGGCTCAATAACTGAATACTGAATGAATACTGAATGAATAAACCAGGGATCATTGTTTAGTTAGAAGTAATAGAACTTTTGGATGTGAAAGCAAATCCGGCTGCAGTGTCTGTCACCCCATTGGTTGCCAAGGCTGACTTGGCTGATCTGCCTGAATAAGCAGGTGCCCTCTTCCTCCCTCAACGTTCTTGAGTGTCCCTCCTGAACTGTGTACTTGGTGGAAGAGGAGAGAGGGCCATGCTGGAGAGAGAGAGAGAGACAGAGACAGAGAGAGAGAGAGAGAGAGACTGTCTGTCTGTCTCTGTGTGTACGTGTATCTGCACTCACCCACATGAATCTGCACTCACCCATCTGAATCTTCATCTTCCAGATCCATGCCATCTATTTCATTTTGGCTTCATCTACTGTACTGTTTGAAGGTCTGGCCTTCTGTATACTACAGAAGGTTTGTTTGTCTTGATGTATTAGTGGTTTCCAGCACATTTAATTATGAACCACATGTACACAGAACCAGAGTAACATTCAATAGTCCTTAGCCTTCGTCCTTTAGTTCCTGTGCCTGTTTCCCTATACTTGCCATATGGTTGATAATGTTAACTGGCTTTTGCCTAATTGCCAATTTATGTAATTTGCATACGTATTGATAGAGAGTTTCCTTCTGGAAGGGGAGTCTTCTCCTCGTGATGAGATCTTTGCAAAGTAGAATGATAGTGCTGATATCATACAAGCTACCCATGGTGCACAATGGAAAGAGAGGGACTACATCTCTCACTTTGCTTGAGTTAGTAAGGATCTTGGAAGGCTGGGGACATCTTGCTTTTATCTTTGAAGGATCTTGGGTCCTGTCTTCTCTGTGCTATTTACCCTCTCAGAATTTGACGATGTGAATATTGCTGGGTAATTATATGCTGATTTGTATGAATCTCATAATAATATCCTGATTTTGGTTTTAATAAGTAAAGCTAAACATGTTCCTCACCTACTGAGCTTTCAGTGGAAACTTTTTCTTAACTATACTTAGCTGTATCACTGTTTCTTTAACAAGAATGGGGGATTCCTAAGAAGTATCTTATGCTTACAAAGTATTTATCTGCACTACATTATTTCATTTGTCTTTACAGTGGCCTGAGTGTAATATGATCTGAAGGTTATCTTCTTGGGCTTAAAAGCTTGATAGTGAAATGTGGGACTTACATTTGGGCATAAGATACCTCACTTTTCATTCAGTTTTACATATACTACATGCAATTTGAAAAATACTATATATAACATATATTACTTTTCCTATGCAAGCAGTCTTTGGATACAAAATTTGAATAAACAGTACTTTCTCAAACTAAGTGGGAATATATACAAATTATCTGTATTTAAAAAATGGTAAAAGCAGAGGACAGATGGGAAGTAGAGACTGATCTCTTTTGTGTAGCAGGAGCTACAGCACCATAATCCCATTTTGCGACCGCTTTTGGCTTTCACAGGTATCTGGTACTATTGGATAGGACATCATGTGTACTGTTTGTACCCTGGCAAACATTGTGGTAAAATAAGCCATTAATACTAAATAAGAGCCCAGTCTGACACTGTGTCCTTCCATGGTCCATGGTTATTTGGGCCGGTTGTTGCTTCCACTGCTCTGGCTGACTCTGAGGCCCAATTCACCAAATTGTGCTACTGCTTCTCGGGAGTTTTGTAGGGGTTTTCTTCTCTCCTTGACATAAATACTTAATTATAGAACCAAAAGCAAACTATGCCCAGCGTTACATACTGGAATCAGAATATAGAAACAGGAAGTTTTTTGGGAGTTCATGTTGTATTTATCTCCCATTAGTTTCTGATTGAAGAACTGAAGATCAGAATGTTCAGCTTGTGTGTGTGTGTGTGTGTGTGTGTGTGTGTGTGTGTGTGTGTGTGTGTGTGTATTGGTACAGCTACTTGAACTCAAGTCTTTTACTTGGCCTTTTCTCTCATATCTGACACTCCACCACTTGAGCCATCCTCCAATATGCCATTATGCTGGTTAATTGGAGACAGACTTTTCCAGTCTGGCTTTGAACTGTGATCCTTAAAGCATAGCTTAGCCACTCAATAAGCTGTCAGATGTTCCTCCCATGGTTTCAAAGCTGAACAATGTATCTTTCTCCTATTGTCCAGCACCAGCATAGAATAGAACCACATAGGCAAACCTGCAGAGAGGTAGAAATATCAAACACAGTTCACACTGATAGTGCTTCCACACCATTATGACCTTTGAAAATCATAGGATGTACATTGAAAGTTGGGGACCATATATGAATTTTTAAAATTATTTTTATTGTCAAGATGGTGTACGTGTCTTAGTGGTAGAGTGCTTGCATAGCATGCATGAAGCCCTGGGTTCAATTCCTCAGTACCATATAAACGGAAAACAAATATAAACGTTTTATGGATAGCTTTTTCTCTGTAATATAAGGTTTGATTTAGTCATGTTTTCCCCTATTTAAATAAGAAATAGCATGGAAGAGACCAGTGGCCAGATTTTGAGCTTTTATTACTTAGTATTACAGTTTTTTATGTGTGGATGACACATATTTGTCATGAGTTGTTGAGTGAAATAATACAGAGAACACAAGGAACAGTCTAGTACATTAATTCAGTGTTACTAATGTTACAGTGTTACAGCCTCTGATACAGCATGTCTTACGTTAAAATTCTCTCCAGACCCCAGTGAATCATAGCAAAGTAAACTTAAAAAACCAACTTGCAAAGACAAAGAAAAAAAGAAGAGTATTAAATAGCAGGTAAGAGATGTTAGAATAAATCTGGTAGCTTAAAGTAGATAGAAATAGCAAAGGAAGTAACAACTTGAAAAATGGAAAAACAGTGCTCTCTAAGTTTTGGAAAGACTAAAAGACAGAAAGATGTGTTGAAAGTTAAAGGCATGATTTTTATCCTAATATCCTATCTCAACCATAGGGTAATCAGCTGCTCTCACAATACTGGCAGGATAGAATTATGCTTTGGAGAGTTTAACTAAAAAATGGTCTGTAGGATCAGAGATTCCAGGGCCAACTCCATACAGGAAGAACCTAGAAAGCAGAAGGAAGGAAAATTTCAGAGTAATCCCCCAAAATTTCCAGATGTAAAAAGTAGGAATGCATAGCCTATAGTATCTCTATGAGTCCCCAACAGAATATATGAGAAAGACTTTTATCAAGCCACTGCATGATGAAATTTTAGAATCTGAGATATGAGAGCAATAATAGACATTCTTCCAAGGAGGAAAAAGTCATACAAAGGCTTTGGAATCAAACTACAAAGAGTACTCAATACCAACCTTTTATACTAGAAGACAGTAGAGCAATGTTTTTAAAATCCTAGGAGAAAATAAGCTAAACATTGGTGGCTCTTGCCTATAATCCTGGCTATTCAGGAGACTGAGATCTGTGGATTGAAGTTCAAAGCCAGCCCAAGCAGGAAAGTCCATGAAACTCGTTATCTCCAAATAAACAACAAAAAGCTGGATGTGGAGCTGCATCTCTAGTAGAGTACTAGTCTTGAGCAAAAATGCTTAAAACAGTGGCCAGGTCGAGTTCAAACCTTAGGACTGGAGCTCACACATGCACATACACATGCACATATACATGCACACAAACTTCTAGTAGAAAATGATATTTAACCTTGAATTCTATTTTCATCCAGATCATCAATTGAGTATGATGAGTAAGGGGAGCATAAATACCTTTGCAGGCATATAGGTGTTAATTTATTCCCAAGGGACCCTCCCTTGTTCAGCTATCTGTCAGCTCTATGTCAGCTCTGTCAGAGCTCATTTCAGCTGCAGCCTACCACAGAGAAGGTAAATACATATTTCAGTTTGAATTCATTTTATTTAAGTACAAAAAGAACAATTATTCTTTAAAGGATTATAGCAATCCAGGGGCCTGTGTATCAGCCCTGCTATCTCAGATAAAATTACAGATGACTTAAATGTATGAACCGGAAAACATGCCCATACACAAGAAAAACAGCCAAAACACGCTGACTCCAGGGTGACACAGATGTTGATTTTGGTAGATAAGGATTTAAAGCAGCAATTAGAACTACACTCCAGAACCAATATGGGAACTTCCAGATAATGTGTTTCGTCATCTAAGAATAACCATTGCTAGGTACTGGTGGCTCATGCCTGTAATCCTAGCTACTCAGGAGGCTGAGGTCTGAGGATTGCAGTTCAAAGCCAGCCTGGGCAGGAAAGTTGGTGAGACTCTTATCTCCAATAAACCACCAGAAAACTGGAAGTGGCACTGTGGCTCAGGTGGTAGAATGCTAGTCTTGAGCTAAAGAGCTGAGGGAAAGTGCCCAGGCCCAGGGTTCAAGCCACACGACATACAAAAAAATTTAAAAAAACAACAAAACCATTTAATGAGGTGAATAATGATCTAAAACAAGAGTCAAAGGATGTTTGAATGCTCCCTTAGTCTACATGTTGAAGATCCACTGTGAAGTATTGGAGTCACAGAAACATAAGGTGGAAAGCAACGACGTAATTATTAACTACAAGGAAAACCAAAAAAAAAAAAACAGAGTAAAAAGAAATTTGCTTATCATGGCCAAGCTACTTTCAGTATTATCTAATTGTAATGTTTGACATTGGTTTTTCATTTAAAAATTTTGTAATTTAAAGGTACAATCAAGAGGAGAAAAAGAAGATAATTAAATCCAAGATCTAAGTCTTGTTCGCCTTTCATAATAAAAGTTAAAGCTGAAATATATACTATGCTATTTTAAATATGGAGCAACTAAAAGCATTGAATGTGATCAATAGTGGTGGCAGGCATTGGAGTCCAGCTTTATGGAACTTAGGCAGATTTAAGTGTTAAATACATTTAAACTTACATACAATTTTTAAAATTGCAATTTAGTACTTATAAGAACCATAACCCAGTGCCCCGTGTGTATTAAGTGCCCAGTATATAATAGCTATTATTACTAGTGAGACTGCTAATTATTAATAGCCAAAACTACGGATCACCTGAAAGAGAATGCAAATATACTTCAGAGCTATGAATGTGACTCAAGTGGGAGAGCTGCCTGCCTAGCATGCACAAGCCCTGGGTTCAAAGTCTGTGTGCGTGTGTGTGTGCGTGTGCGTGTGTGTGTGTGTGTGTGTGTGAAATAATGTACTTTTTCCAGTACTTCCAGAAATATTTGACTGATTGCAGTAAATAATAAATTAGAATATTCATGAATTAAAATGAAATATTTCTTAGAAAACAGAATCAACTTTCTTTGACACTAAAGGTTTAAAGAACATTGTGACACTGGTTTTCTAGTCCTGGTATTATTTTTGTATTAAATATGCAGATCTTAAGCTGCATAGTATGTCAATCTGTGCTGCCAAAGTCTCTATTCTGTTCTTTACAGTAATCTTATAGAAAGAGGATTTTGCATGCAGACCTAGCTAAAAAGAATTTATAAGCCAGTTGATAATATATGTATTCGAATTTATAAGCCAGTGGGTAATATATGTATTAGTATGTATTACATTCATTATCCAATGAACCCCCCCCCCCCCCCTGTAGAGAACAAAAGATCAGAGTGGGAAAGGTGATTTGGGAGCATGGATTCCCACCAGAACTGACAGGTCCTAATGAAGTCACACAGAGATATTTTGATTTCCCACACATGAACTGGGCAGAGCCAAGGCATCTGAGAGAGTACTCAATGCCAGTGCCAGTCAGGGCATTATAATGGTTAAGAGAATTAGAAAATCAGATAATAAAAATAAAAATTTTAGACTTTTCCTACTAAAGATGACAACTGGTATTGAAAAGGTGATTTAAATGTAGAACTGTTCTGTATTTTCCATTGTCATTCTTTTTCTGGTTAATGTGTTTGAGAAGTGACATTTTGTAGAGTGTTATATCTGGAGAGAAATTATCTGTAGTATGGGTAAACCAGGGTTTAACTGGGAAAAGTGTTTAGGAATGCCTGTTTCTAATGTTCTTACTCAGCATAAGAAAAATTGCTTATGCCTTGTGTAGTGGTTTGGGACCTCCAGATTATCTCCGTTCTTCATTTAAGAAAAAAAATTGAGTAATTTAGTGTTTCCGGATTTCTCTCTGTGTGTCTACACTGATGCATAAGTAACTCAGGTTCTTCTCCACACTAATCACATGTATTTTAGACTGTGATATAAATGTTTTTAATTGAAAAGGGATATAAAAGTACGTTTCCTAATATACTTTCAGACTTTAGAAAAAATGTGCTCAGGCTTGCTGAAAACTGTCAGGTTTCTTTTTGAGTAGATGCATCATCTTCTAAAAAACTTTTCCCCCAAGATTTCCTTTTAAATGGTCCACAGTTAAATTTAAATTTCTATATTTAGGTAGAATTATGTTTATATACCAACCACCAGTATCCAGGAAATCAGTGGTAAAGCTGACACATAGGGAGGTTTATAGTCTATTTTGTAGTCTGTGTATTTAAAGAACATTTGAAGCTAACTTTGCAAAATTGCTTAAATATTCAAGCAGAATTTCTTTAGTACAAATGTGCTATTTAATTTCATATAATTGTTAAGATGGCAGCATGTCACTTTTAAAAGATTAACTCAAGAATGTGTGTTAGATTTGTTCCTTTCCAAGAAGGGTGCCTTCAAGAACAGCTTTTATATGTAAATATTTTTGGAATAGTTTATGTTGGATAGAATTGGTTTGTTGCAATCAGCATGGTTTGATCAAATTTGGAACATTTTTTTGTAGTGTTTTTCTCCAGCATCTTTATTTTTTTCAGATGGACGTATTTTATGTTCCTTCCAACTAATCAAAATAAGAAGCTGAGTTTGCCTTTGCCAAAAAAATACAACTATCGTTTTTCACATTCTTTTATTTTCCAGGTCATTTTCAAGTAAGATTGTGTTTCTAGGGCTTCTGAATTCCTAAAAACTCTTAACTCTGTAGATAAAGAAAAGACCAGATGAACATTTCAGGGGGAATCTAACTTTTCATGCAGTATGTTTTGTATTGGACAGTCCAGATACAGTTAACTTTTTGTGTGCATATGATTAGTGTGGAAAGAAATTAATGCAGTCCAGTATTATGATTTATGGACTGAATCCTTTAACCACTGAAGACTTGCCAAAACTGAAAGTATTTTTTTTCCTTTGGATATTAGAAACAGCTACTGTTTTTGTTGATCTTTTAAGTTCTGAATGGGCCTATTTCAAATCATACCAGCATGGGAGCTCAGATTAATAATATACTTATTCAACTAGTGATACTGAGTGAAACCATTGCTCACATGGATAGGAAGGATAAAATTTCATAAAATTATTTTCAGGTGCATTAATGTATTTCTGGAAGCTGTGTATGATTTTTATTTTGCATTAGAGAAATCAAGGATATCTGTTTGTTATATCAGTTACAGGTGGGCTTGTGAGGTAATTTAATTGCATTTTTTAGAATATCTCAAAATAGGACATTTTGCTTTTAAAAGCAATTTTGTAATCACTGGATTATTCCTCAAGGTTTTTAACTCTTAGTATATTTCTCTCTCTTGAGAATCATGATTATACTGTGTTTAATTTATATTACTGGGAAAAATATCCTGACTTTCCTTTGTTAGTTGCAGCAAGCTGCTGAAGTTTCCCAGCTGAGGGGAGCAAGAGTAATCTCTGCTGAAGATCTTCTGTTCTTGATACGAAAAGATAAGGTAACAAAACAATGTCACCATGTTAGGTGCTAGGCCTGTAGCTTAATTGAATTTACATGAGGAAACTATGTTCCTTTGATATATCGTATTCAAATTGGAATCATGATCATTGATGAAAAGTTCAGTGTTCATAGTTACAAAACAAACTACGTTTACTACAAAGGAATGGATATTTGTTTTTACCTGGGTAAATAGCACTTAGACAAAAAGCTGCCAACAATCCTGGGTAATCTCTACTTGTCTGATGACATTTTCATTACTAATTAGTGTTCAATAGATATTGACTGTATGGTGTATTGCCTCAGTGATATACTTATTTGTCTGCTCATTGTGAACCTTAACATCAACATAATTACAGAATTTCATATGGTAATTGAACTTTACAAAGTTTCCTCTCTGTAACACTGGTTTATAGAAAAGAAAGAAGTCAAGATGAATATTTAAAATCATGAAGACACTATAATTTCTAATTTTTGGTATGTTTCTTAGTCTCTTATCTCTTGGTATTAAAATATAAAATTGGTGTTTGTGTCTAATTTCATCAATTTTCCATGAAAAGCTAGCTAAAATAGTTTATATTATTTTACATGTTTTAGTCAACCTTTTTTTTTTCTGGTCCTGGAGTTTGATTGAACTCAGGACCTGGACACACTGTCCTTGAGCTTCTTTTGCTTTCTTTTACTCAAGTCTAGTGCTCTACCCCACTTGAGCCAAAGCACCACTTCCAGCTTTTTCTGGGTAGTTTATTGTCGCATGGACTCTTCTGCCCTGGCTGGCTTCAAACTGTGATCCTCAGATCTCAGTCTCCTGCATAGTTAGAATTACAGGCGTGAGCTACTAGCACCCCTGGCTTCAATCAACTCTTAGTTGATAAAAAGGATATATAAAAGAAAAAACAATGTCTTTACTATCAAGACATGATTTATAGCTTTAAATCAAGAAGCTTATGATCTATGGTAGTAAATCTGGCTGATCTGAAGATGCATTTTTTAAGACAGAATTTTAAGGTTTTATGATTAGATGTAGAGGCTGAATGTTGAAGTGGAAGCTTCTGACTACAGTAAGGTTCATGCAGGCCTAAGTAGAATGGGTAATGGAAGGAGGCTAACCAAAATGCTCTATTACCAATTAGGACAAAGAATGATTAGTATGGTAGCTCTGGAAACCGGAAAAATGAATTCAGAGAGCATAGTGAGGAAGAGTTTGCAAGACTTGGTGACATTTATTGAATACTTGAGGCATTCTTGAAGAGCAATAGACCTCAAGGACTCCATCACAGCATGTGGTGTAGAAGGAGTATTGTTGCTGTAGGCAAAAAGAAGGCCCTTGAGCTGTCTGAAGAAGACAGCTGGGGAACAAGCAGAATATCTTGTCAATTTTTTTCACCAGTAGAGGTAAAATGATTGAATTTAATAGTTCACACCGACTCTTCTTCGTGCCCTGTTGGGGAAGCCAAAACCTTCATTCTACAGAAACTTTAGGAATGCACAACACAAGCTATTTAGATAGAGCACTCTACCAGAATGATAGTCACCCATTTTCTTATAATTTTACTTATATGCCATCCAAAAAGAATTTAAAATGGCTTGCATAAATAAAATATCAGACAAAAAAAATTAAAATGCCAAATGGAATCAGAGCAAAGAGAAAAAAAAGTGGCAAAAGTTCTTTGGGCAGGAATGTTTCCTTAATAGCTGTAGTTGTACTCCAGCATTCCTCACAGCCTGCTGTGTTGTACACCACACTAAGCAGCTTCCCATGCTTTCTCCAGAATCCCCACACAGGCATGTGCCCATGCTCTTTTCTTGTTTTACAAGTGAAAACTGAGATGCACAGGTCATGTTCTACTTCTGGCCCTGCTGAGTTCCCAGTACTTTTTTTTTTTTAACCTTGGTTTCCTTGTGATTACATTTTTCCTCTTTCAGGTCTATCAAAAATATTAAATGAGCTAGGCACTGGTGGCTCATGCTTATAACCCTAGCTACTCAGGAGGCTGAGTTCTGAGGATTGCCGGTCAAAGCCAGCCGGGACAGAAAAGTGCATGAGATTTTTATCTTTAATAAACTACTCAGAAAAAGCTGGAAGTTGCACTGTGGCTCTAGTGCTAGAGTGCTGGCCTTGAGCACAAAGAGACTGAGGAACAGCCACCAGGCACTGAGTTCAAGTCCCAGGCCAAGCATAAATGAATACACACACACACACACAGCCTTTTAAGGTGCAATATATGTTTCAGCTATGATGAGAAATCATAAACCTAAAGGTCAGAAACCAGAGACAGTACTTTCTTGGTGTAAGCAGAGAACAAACTGCATAGGGTTACCCATCAGGTTTGTAGTAAAATCATATTGGGCTCTCCTAAAACAAGCTGCAAAGTAGGCCATTATTAAAACCTAACTATGAGTTTCAAAACAATGTTCCCTAGATTATAGACTGTTTTCCTGAAATAGCACATATAAATGAACTCTTCTAGTGAAAAGGTAGATTCCCAGAAGCCAAGCATAATAGGGTGTACCTGTAATCCCAAACTTCTGGAAGCTGAGTCAGGAGGATCACAAGTTTGAAGCCAGCCTGGATTATATAGTCAGACTTAGTCTCTAATTAATTGATTAATATAAATATTCTCACAAAACTATAGGAAAGCCATTACTTGCCTTTGAAAAGCATTTGTTATGAACTCATTGTCTAGATGTTTATAAATCATTTTAAATAAAATTTTATCTGAAAACTATATACATAATTCAACAGCATAAGTAATCAGTATGGGGAATGTGATATTTATCAAAAACTCTGGAATACTTTTAAACTCTTAAGACATACCATAAAATAATTATTATAATATAGGAAAGTCCGGATTAGAGAAAAGTGCTGTTATAAATACTTGTATAGCTACAATACTTTTGTTTTTATTATGTTTAACTTGATGATCACATTTTGATTTCAGTGTATTAGTGATTTCTATATTTCTCTCAGTGATGCTCAAGTAGAGTTTAATAAAATTAGTTATCACAATATTCCTTATCAGTATAAATATGTATATCATTTTCTCATTTCATATTTTTAACAGAAAAAACTTAGAAGACTTTTAAAGTACATGTTTATCCGAGACTACAAATCAAAGATTGTCAAAGGCATTGATGAGGATGATCTTCTAGAAGGTAACCAAAACAAAGCACTGAATAAACAAGAGCTGATGACATACTTATGCTAGATGACACAATTTTTCATTGTCAATGTAGATAAACCCATAGAACCACTTGGAGGCAGAGGCAGGAGGATCTGGAGTTCCACATCGCACAAAAGCACTTCAGGCATGGCTCGAGGGGTAGAATACATGAGGTTCAATGTATACAAATGCACACACACACACATCTATCTATCCATCTATCTATCTGTCTATCTATCTCTATACATATATACACATATGTGTTTTTGTATATGTCGATATATATCTGAATGAATGTGTAGTAATGTTTGAAATTAAAGTATTTAAAGTAACTATCGAATATATACATAAATATGTATGTACACAGTTTAATCTTTTTACTTCATATGAACTTGGTATTTTAATTCTTTCTGTTAATAATGTATACTATATTATGAAACCATAAAAATTGTGATGATTGAGTGCATAACTGATTTTTGTAAGTGGAATTTTTCTGTGGTGGATGAAGGGAGCCAGAAATATTATATAGTTTAGAAACTGGCTCATGTAGATTTTGGTAATTTACCATAAAAAGAATCTGATATGATTAATGATATAAAGTTACCTCATTCTAGTCTGTTATTCCTGTGTTGTTTAAAAATCTAACAAAAGTCATAATACGAAGTAGAAAACTTTCCTTCTCTGACTTAGCAACTCAGTTCTTTATTTTAGAATGTTTAGGAAAAAATACTAATGTTGCAAAATCAAACTGCTAAGCTGCAAATATGTAAGTACTAAAAATGCTTACTAAATCAAAGTATTGATCAGTTTAAAGTGTAGAACTTATTTAATTTATATACTTTTTAGAAATAATGTGTTTTTATTAATAACAGACATTATGTAATGGCATCCATTAAGAAGAACTTCAGAAAACTAGAGTAAGTAAACTTTGAAAGAGAACTAGTTACATTCATCATGAAATCCCCTTACATAAAATATTACAAACAAATTTATTACACACTGTCACCTATTATATTAGCAATTCTCATAGAACTTAGTACATGGAAAATAGTTCTGCAGATAAATTTTAATGTTTCCTCTTTGGTATACATAAAGAATATAGGACCAAAATAGACCTGTGTTCCAATCATTCCCAGATCTTTGCTTTCTCTACGTGGTACCTAATTTCTTATTTATGTTCTCATTTCTTTTTAGTTGTTGCTATTGTTTGTCTTTATTTATTTTAGTGTTCTTGTATATCAGAAAGAAATTATACTGCTTAAAATGTGGAATCTTATGAGAATTCAACTTAATTTAGTGAAAACACTTGATACATGCCTACCACTGAATAGTTTATAGGTGCTGATTTTCAACACAAGCTCAGAGTGCTAAGACTGCAGTTTAGCTGTCCAATGACATCATGTTGGTTTGATGCCATCTTCTTAATCATTTTTAAACATGTTTAAAACGTTTTTTATCTTCATCAAAGGTTCTAATTTTTATGTCTTGTAAAAAGTATACTAAAACTTCTTATAGATTAGTTGGCATAAGTCATAAGGTACATACTCAGATGAGACATATCTATCCCTAAATATGACTTCTAAAATGACTGTGTAAGGAGCTTGACAGGTTTCCCCGGAGAAATACATTTAATTGTATGTTAAATACTATCATTTAAAATGTTTAAACATAGTTTTAAGATCATAGAGTAAATAAAAAAAAGATTTTTAAGAAAATGTAATATATTTATAGGGCCAAGGAAAAATTAACAAGGCTTCAGAGGAATATGGAACACCATTAACTTACATTAGTATATGCATACTGTGTACATCAAAAGGCAAGAAAAAAGACCAGAGAGAATGTAACAATGCTCAAAGAAATAGTGACTGAAAACCTGTCAAATTATTAAGTGCATATCCAAGTACATTGATAATGATGCACTGATACACTAATCCAAGAACCTTCCCTCTTTATAAAGGATTCTAGTAAGCCCTTTCATCCTTACTGTGGTAATTATTTGATTCTATTCTGTCAGTTTGTAATAAGAATGAATGATTTAATTCTGTAAATCCTCCACTTGTATTTTAGATGCAAGAATCCCCCTTTCAAAAAAATGTTTGAAAGAATGCCAGTTCTTAATTTCCTGTGCATTATTTAATACAAGTACTGTTGAGTACTGATAGAAACCTATGGATAACATCTCTTTTTTTCTTTCCTTATCTTCATGAAGACAAATTGAGTGGCAGTAGTAATACAAACAAAAGACAGAAAATTGCTCAGGATTTCCTCACTTCTATTGACCAGACAGGAGAACTTTTGGCAATGTTTGAAGATGAGGAAATTGATGACGTTAAACAAGAAAGAATGGAGGTATGATACTTTCCTCTTTTTCACAGTAACACACTCACCATTGCATCATCGTGTACCATGCTGTTGCTGCTCCTCCAGAGAGTCCTTTGTCTGATAGCATTAGTATCCCCTGGTATAAACCGTATAGAGAGGGAATTTCTCTCACAGTTGACTTTGGAAGACAGCTTCAGTTCTCTGTCTCTCTGTTTCTCCTTTGAAAACAAGGTTTCCTTCCTCAGGATCTGACATTTTCTGGTTTCATTTTATTCTGTTTAAGCTAGTTTATAATCAGATATTTACTTTTTTTGTTCCAAATTATACTGCTATCTTTGGGTGAAAGGCTTTTACTTGCCACTTTTGTTTGGCATAACTTGCAAAGAGCTATTTTTCAGAGTGTTTGCAGGTTATGATTGGACTCACTAGCCAAGGTGGTACTCAGGGCAATTACATGCTTTGTATCACTAACACAATTACTGACATATATTTGGATTGCCTGGATATGTTTTCACAATAGATTTGAAAACTGTATGTGTTTTATTGACCTTAAAAGCCATCTATACATGAAATTATTGTTTCTTTAAATATACTTCAGGAAAATGAAAGTAATGATTTATTTCACTTGAGCACCATCCAAAATACAGGACAGTTTTCACCACTGTTACTATATCTTTACGTGATTAAAAAAAAAAGTCAATTCAATTTCCCCTTTCTCTTTAAATTGGTCAAGAGAGGTAATTCCAGAATTCTGAAACGATTTGCTAAGTGCCTACTTCATCATAGTGTCTATGCATGCTAAAAATATAATTATTTCATGTTAAATTTTGGAGGAAGTCCAATAGACATATATGCTTTATAAACTTTAACAACCTTCTTTAAAGAATTAGCAATGCTTAGATCATGAACTGTGATCTAAAGGCAGTGTTCTTTTAGGTATCAATTACCTTAGAAATGTGTGGTTATCTTGGTTTGGGCAACTGCAAATGGTTTTAGTTCAACATTGCCTTGAGCTAAAAACATGCTAAGTTGTCCAAAGCAGATGATAAACATAAATTTCTGATGTCATTATGGCCTAAACAGGATATGATTATTTAGTGGCATGGTTTCACTTATAGTGTATCACACAGAGAACAAATACTGTGTATCTTTATTTTTAATATTTTTATATTATAAAACATGGGCCTTATGGAACAACTCTAAATGAAACATAAAATTGAACAGATAGCTTGTTGGTTTGATGGGAAAAATCTCAGCTAAACAAACTTGTTTCCTAAGGAATATCCCACAATTAAGCAAAAGAGGAAAAAAATGGAGCATTTTATAACATTAAGCTCATACTAGCCCACAGTCGTGATAGTAGGTCTAGAAAATGATGAGTCAATGAGGTACTTGTTAAAATCAATAAAGTATCTGAAAGGGCAGAGTGGAATAAGTTTAAGCACTTACACGGCCCATATACCACTTTCCTGTAATTATATGTGGTAAGCAGGATAATGGAATATTAGTAGTTGATAACAATTGTCACAATAGAAGTCTGCTTCATCTACAAGCCTGATTGGTAACTTCTTTCAACTTATATGAGGACTAAAACCTGAGATAACAGACAGTCGTTTTGATATTCTACTCCTCAAAAAAAAACAACCAGAATTTAACTGGATAAAAAAAAAATGATAGCCTATAGCCACAACTGTAGACAGTAGAAAGTGGAACCGTTAAAAGCAGAGGCCTTGCCTGCTTCTAATTTGACAGGTTATACTTTCAAGAGTAAACCACAACTGTAGCGGTCCATATGAAACCACTTTGGATTCACAGACTGCAATCTCTTGCTTTTAAAGTGCAGTGGAATAATCAGTCCTGGCATCATTCAGTGATTTAATTTTCCTCTTAAGTATCACTTATGGCTGCAGAAACATTGTGTACTACCTTCTGCCATTAAATGTATGAAAATGGTATAGACCTACCAACAAGCGTAGTTTGGGTTTTCTTTCTTTGTTGTATTTTTTCCTCTCATATAAATGTACTTCAGAAAAGAAACTCGCTTATAGTCATAAAAACTCACTTGGGACCCCTAGCTTCTTCTCAAAACATTGACTAAGCATAGAAAAACCACACTTGGTGCTTTCCTATGTAGCTGATGAATGTGTGTCTAACTTTTTCTCATAATTTTTACTTCATTACTATTAAGCATTATATGACAAAATATGAAAAATGTCTGAATTTATGTGTTCATTTTGCCTTGATAGTCCATTATCAAGAGTTAATTAACTCTTACCCTACTTTCTCTCTAACTCTAAATTTCTAACACTTGGTATAACTATAGTTGAGATTCAGGATCATGACCTCTAAAGTTCCTTCCAAATTAGCAAGTAAAAATTAAATAAAATTAAGGATTTTTTTAATTGGGAAATAATACATATGACTACAGCTTCTTCCAGCAAGCCCCTCTTTCTACCCACTCTTCCTACCTCTCCTCCTGTCCCTCCTCTCACCCCTCCTTCTACCCACTCCATTCCCAAATGAGCTGAGTATGTTTTAGCATTGACAATGGTTTCTTTTTTTCATTAGATTTTCTGAATTCTAACCAACTAAATGTGGTTTGGCAGAAGGCAAGAAAGTGTCACTATAAGCTGCAGATAGCTTTGGGGTTTCTAACAACCAGGAATTCTGATCAGTCACAGAAGAGCTCTAGGTAAAATCTAGCCTCTCCGCTTCTGGAGGAGCCCGATAAACTAGGTTTATGATTAATCAAGTGACTGGTCAGTCTAAGTTTGTGAAGGGGATTCAAAGATGGATACTTAAAACATCAGGTGAACTCTTCTTTCTGTAGAATCTTCCAACCGATAAAAGTAAATGAGAGTAAAGATAGAATTTACCAGAGAAATCAGCCGTTAAACACATTGGAGTGTTCAAAATCCCCAGTAACTATTTGTGTCATGCTTTTAAGTTGGAGCCCTAATTAAAACTTTTAATTAAGCCCTTAAACTGTAATCTTGCAAGAAAACAAAACTATTTGCATAAAATTTAAGGCAGCTTGATTTTTAAAAAATTAAACACTAAAGCCGGGCGCTGGTGGCTCACGCCTGTAATCCTAGATACTCAGGAGGCTGAGATCTGAGGATCATGGTTCAAAGCCAGCCCAGGCAGGAAACTCCATGAAACTCTTATCTCCAATAAACCACCAGGAAACCGGAAGTGGTGTTGTAGCTCAAGTGGTAGAGCTCTAGCCTTGAGCTGAAGAACTGAGGGACAGTGCTCAGGCCCAGAGTTTAAGCTCCATGACAGACCAAAAAAAAGAAAAGATTAAACTCTAAATTGGGTGAGATCCTAGGTTGTCATCTTGTGTTGCTTAACCTAAAATGAACCAGCCATAAAACTTAAAACAGAAAGTTGAGTGAAAAGAAGAACCTAGGGTACCATTCAACTGTGCCCCAAATACTGTATGGGCTATGATCCTCTAGAAGTTTCAGCCCTACAGTTGTTAATTTTGGAGATAAATGGACTGAAAGACTTGTTCATAAAACCAAGGAGATGGCTGTACATCTCCAGTTTTCTTTCTGTTAGTCCCCTTTTCTACATATCATGATCTTTTTAATTTTAAAGGGAAAACAAAGTACCTATAAAGTGAGTCCAAAATATCTTAGGTAAGGTTTTAGCAAAAGTATCAGTAAGATGCGACTATTTACAAATACCAAAAATTGTTAGTTTTATTTAAGAGCTGCAACTCAAAGACATTTAAATTTTTTAATGTATTTGGGATTAAGAAATAGACTAGGGACACAGCTTATGTAGACTACTTGCCTACCATATATGAATCCCCAGGATTGATTGCATGCATACAAAAACATCAGTGTTTTACCTTTGTTTTTCCCTAGTAGTTTCAGAGTTTCTGCTCATACAGTAAGGGTCTCGGATCCATTTTGAGCTGGTTTTTGTGAGTGATAGATAGGAGATAAGCTTTATCTTCTGCATCTGAATTATCAGCACCATTTGTTGAAGATGTTATGCTTTCCTCAATGTGCATTTTAGGCACTTTTGTCAAGAATCAATTGGCTGAAGCTGTATAGATTCATTTCTGGGTTCTCTTATTCTGTTCTATTGGTCTGTATGTCTATTTTTATGCCAGTACCATAATGTGGCTTTATAGTATGTCTAGAAATCAGGTATTACATGATATTTAGATTAGCAGGTTCCAAAAACTTTCATTTCAAATAGAATTAAGCAATTATGGAAATGTATGTATTGGTTTAGGTAAACAGAGTCCCGCGTTAAATTTACCTCCAAGCAAGGTTTAATATAGTTCACAATGAGTATTGGATATCTAACTTTAATTTCCCATAATTCCCTTTTGCCCTTTTCTGTTTTGTTGGCCTAATCTTCAGACTGATTTTTTACCTAGAAGCACAAATTGCTATAGAAGTTCCAAATCCAGACAGAGAGAAAGCTATGTTTCAAGGCTTAAATCTCAAGGTCTCTCCAGACCTCTGCCAGCCACACTAGCTGGTAAGATAGAATGTCTTGACTAGCCTACCCAAATCCTCTGCTTCATTGATAAAGCTGAAGATACAGGTCCCCTTGAACAAAAGCATGGGTCCCCAGAGCTTTAGTAAGAGAACCATAAAGGTTTGTAAAATGAAGGGCCTCCACAGGGTGACACTGCGAATGAATAAAGTGATGTTATAACCTTGGCTCTTTGCTTAGATCTCCAGAAGTTTTCCCTAAACCATAGCATGGTAGAATGAGTGTAACTTATACATCCCTCATTCCATTCATCCATTTATTTATTTATTGAGATTCTTTTGTAAGTCAGCCATGTGCTGGGTCCTAAAACTATAGTAATAAAAGAGATAAAATGCTGTTTGTGCCCACAGAATGCTAGAGTGATACCTGGCTAATCGAAAGATAAATATCTAGGAAAAAAGAGTGTTTGCCAGACCCAACCAATATTTGCTATTCTTAGCATTATTATGAAATTAGGCCTTAATGTCAACTTTATTTGTGGATTTGGGGTTGTAGATTTTTCTATT